ACCCTGATCTTTGATCCCCTCGCTGAGGTAGTATCTGTCAGGTGTCTCCTCTGTAAAGTTTCTCTCTTCCCTTTTTTCATGCTGTCCACTTTGGAAGGAATTCACTATTTAGAGCCCATATCTAAGGGTAGGGAGTCCCAGTCCCCCTGTTTGCGAAGAGGAATTGAGTAGGAACGCAAGAAGTGAGTGTTGGAGGCTGGAGAGTGCCTCCAGATAAGCGACGTGTTGCGGAGTCTGCTATGAGCACATTAAGTCTGAGGAAAACCCACTACTTTACAAAGAGCCACATAAATTACTAATTTCCAACGAGAAGAAGTAATTACTGGAAGTTCTGGCTCTGTTCAGGTCTTCACCTTGAAATCCGGCATGGCCAAGCTGAATGAACTGTATTAGTTGGAATAATCTCTACTGACTTCTGGAATAATATTCCAGTGAACTAAGTTTACCTCTCTCCAGAAACTGTTACCTTGGAGAGTCAGCACTAGGCAGTGCTCTGAACAGAATAAAGTTGACCCTCGAACAACAGGGCTTGAACAGCGTGGGTCCACTTAGGGTTTGTTTTTTTTCCCAGTGGAGTTGGCCTTTCTTATCCTGGCTTCGCATGGTGGCTTCAACCAACTCAGGAGCAGAAACAGTATTTACACATTCCCAAAAACTGTTTCCAAACTGTGGATTCCTAGGCATGGATGGACAATACTATTTTTGATATGTGGTTGGTTGACTCTGCGGGTACAATGGCTGCAGATGCAAAGGACTGTCTGTAGTTAAGTTTGGGGGCAGTAAAAAATTATATTTGAATTTTCAGCTGCTGGGGTTGGCACTCTATATTCCTGTGTTGTTCAAGAGTCAACTGTATAGCTTCTTATTGTTTTTGCCAGTTGTTTAATTCTCAATGTTGCTATTGTTCATTTGTGTTTTTGCCCCAAATTCACATGTCGAAATCCTGCCTTTGCCAAAGGTCATGGTATTAGTAGGTGGAACCTTTGAGAGGTATTTAAGTCATGAGGGTTGGAACCCTCATGAATGGGATGTGATCTTGTAAAGAGACCCAGTAAAGCCCCTATCACCTTCTGCCATGAGACAATATAATCAGAAGTCTGGAACCCGGAAGAGGACCGTCACCCCTTTATGGACACCCTAACTGCAGATTTCCACCCTCCAGAACAGTGGGTAGTAAATGTTTGTTGTTTAAAAGGCACCTGACCTATGGTATTTTGTTATAGAAGCCTGAAAGGACTAAAATAAATCTTATATTTAAACAGAGGTTACTGAATGAGTCACAAGGAGTGTTATTTCATTGACTCAACACAGTTCTACTCTGACCGATCCTGATAAATGACATGAATTTTAGTAACTAATATTTCCTTTAAATACTAATATAAGAAAAAACCTCTAAGATTCTAGAAACAGGGATGAATTTTGTTTACATTTCATTTTCTGCAATTTTTAAGAGTCTACTCTACTTATTGAGAATTCTTATCTTTATACTTCCAGAACTGATACATAACCAGATCTCCTTTAAAAAAATCTTCATAATTCTAAAATGATTCCTCACTTTTCTAGAAAATAATTAAACTCACGGATAATGAAGAAGTCAATGCGAGATTTGAAATAGCCTTTCTGAGCTTCTAAATTGTTCTTATAACATGACTTTTTTCCCTGTTGATTTAGTAACAGAGAACTGAAAGGCACTTGCCCAGTGGGCTATTATTTCAGAATCAGCGGCCCCAGAAGACCACCCTCCTTGTGCTGGGGTTCACAGAGCAGATGGTGCAGGCAGCATGGGGGATATGATAGTGATGTCATTAGGAGCAATTATTCCACCACCGAATATAGTGAGCTGCACTTGGGGATGCATAGGGACCTGAGTTGTGCAGTACTTTAGAATTAGAAAATCTTATGAAACGAAACCATCCAAAGAACGTATATGCATAACCAATAGACACAGACAACACTGTGGTGATGGCCAGAGGGAAGAGGGGGAGGCAGGCGCTGGGGGGGAGGGCCAAGCAGGGGGCAATGGGGACATCTGTAATAGTGTCAACAATAAAAATTAGGTAAAAAAATCTAAACCAGCAAAATGATCATCAGGAATTTTGCACTTTATCCTTATTTCTTTGAGAAAAGAAAGTTATTTTCTGATCACTCTGAAATTTGCCAGTCTTCAATTAGGATTCCTAAAATTCAGGAAGAATTTTGAGTTATTTTTCCATTTGGCTAGGACCCCAGGAATGTTTTGCTTAAAGGTTCTATCTTCTACAGTGACTAACAAAAATACTCGGTTGTTAGAAACTTCAAAAAATGAGAATGATAAAATACATTAAAAAAGAAAATGTATGTTTCCTATTGTGCTGTAGCAAATTGCCACAGATTCAGTGGCTTAAAAACAACACAAAAGGGTTATCTTATGATTCTGGAGGTCATTAATATCTCTGTCCTAAAATTGTTTGATTCCATACAAGCATCAATTCAGCTACCTTTTAAGATTTATGGATAAATTCTATATATGTCTAGATTTTAGAAATATGAACTAGAACTATTGACTTCACTCTCATTATATATTATCTCAATTTATTACTGTCTTTTTTTTAACTCACATATAACTCTTCTACATAGGTCCATTTAAACTTTTTTTGCGTGTGTTGCACACACATCGATTAGTCTTTGTTTTGCGAAGCTGTTTCCTCCTCCACTCCCTGATCTTCTATTATCAGAAAGTTGTTTCAAATCGAGTTTCACGGACTTCTTTTGGGGTGGTATTATTTTATTATGTCATTTTATTTACCCTTTGCATATTTTCAAAAATGATCAGGATTCAAAAATAATATAATTGGTTGCTGGGTATGAATGGGATGGATTGGCTATGAGGAATCAGCCTTAAAAATCACTTTTGAAATGCTGGATTTGGTGTGTAATTGGGAAGCTTCTCAGCATAACGTTCATTTGCAAGCAGGGCAAAACCCAAACTGTGGGAAGTGTCAAAATTGAAGGGTCTAGGTTTTCAGGAGATGGTTATTTTTTGAATTTTGCTTTGGACTTTGGCCCTAAAACAAATATTTAAATGTTTTAGGAAACAGATAGTTTTGGTTATTGACAGAAAGAGCACAATGAATGTAGGTTAGCATTTGGACTTGGTTGACAGGTGACAGCTGCTTTTCTCCTTGTGTGATTTAGAAACAAAAGCTGAAGGATACTTGATGTCTTTTTTAGCTCACTCTTTGAGCAAAGAGTGTTACTATAGGTCCTGGGATGGTGTTTATAAAGTTTATCACTAAATTAAGAACATAAGGATAAAGAGATTCAGCTAAATTTTATTGCACATGCTGAAACTTAGTAGTACTTTTATTTTCGCCTCACAATGGGGAACAGGTACAGAGTATTCTCAATTACCAAATTAGTTACAGCATGAAAAATACTTCAATCTTTAATCTGTATCTTAAGAATTGGCCCAAAAGGAAATTCTTTACTAGTCATTCTTCTTTCTGGCAGGTATCACTCTAACATGTCTAGCTTTAGCCTTCCCCTATAGGCAAGGCAGAGAGAAACTGGCTTCCGTCCACTCACCAATTCCTTTGGTGGTAGTTAGGGCTGAGGCACAGAGAGTAGAATGATGAGGGACATAAGAACTGGCCACCGGGGAGGGGTGCTTCATGGTATTGTGAACTGTAGACTAGGCGAGCATGACCTGTTCTTGTCTGGTAGAGGTGCGTTCATTTATTCTCATTTACAGCTTCTGCAGATCCTTACAGCTGGTGAGAGTTCCACATTGTCTTAAGCTTTGTGGTAGAGAAGCTGAAGTGAACTCTGCTTCATGGGCACTTTTGAAAATACATGGGGCACCTAGCAAGCAAAAAATATATCATCTGGTGTGTAACCTCAGTTAGAGTTAGAAACCAAAGGACTCTGCACAAAAAATAATTAAGGGAATGTACAGATTTGTTAACAGTCACAAATACTCTGAATTAAACCTACCTTCGAGATAAGCCATTGACCAGGTGTAATATTATGAAAGTACTGTTTGTGATTTTTTTTGGTTACTGTATTCCAATAACTGATAACTTGGTATTCAAGGAATAAAAATCATAAATAAAAACTGATGTTCAGTTCCTTTGAATACCTCCAGCCTATTTTCCATGCAAAGAAGTTTTATAGAAATGTTCATATTACTTATGCTTGTAATGAAATCTACGTGTTTATTTGCTCATTTCAAAATTCTAAGGGGAAAATTGTGTTTATAGCCTTAGGTAATGCTTATATCTATATATTGTGTACAAATACCACACATACACCTAGCCATCAATCTTGTCATTTTATACATTAGTCCAGAATTTGTGAACAAGAATTTGGCTGAAACCATTGATTCTTTTCCCCTTTTAAACTTAATTATGTAAGGTCTAATTAAAAAACCTAATTAGCTAAATCTTCTTAAATAATTACAGGCAATAATGTTTCTTTATTATTCTTTTATTATTCCAAAGTCACCTGTTATTTTTCCAAGTCATCTATTTTGTAGAATTCACATGCTGTATTAAACATGCATGTATATATGGTCATTTAATAAAGTAGGCAACTTTCAAGAGAATTTCACTAAAAGCATTTCAGATGCTGTCAGACATCTACTAAAAGAAATGGTTCTAGAAAATGAATGCAAAGCTGAAAATATTCTACTCCAAGTGTCTAATAGCAACCCAATATTTTATTCTGACAAACCAGGAGAGTAAAATTTGAATAGAACCACAAAATATAAGCATGATAAAATCGTGCTCTTCTGTGGCCTTTCCTTTGGAGGTGCACAGACCTCTGAAAACATGGGGAAAGCCTCAGAAATGAAATGTCTCTTGTCAGTAGTAATGACTGATGGCTCTGTGGGAGGGAAAGCTCATAAGGATGCCAGGGGCTTTAGTTATAATTCAGAGAAGCCAAAAAAAAAAAAAAGCACACATAAGATTAAAAACTTCTTAAGCAGGAGGCTTTTCCCCCCTTTCCTTCTGTTATTGTAGGATTACAGGGTGAACATCTTTCTTCGTCAGAAATGGAACGACCCACGCCTCGCCTACAGTGAATACCCTGATGACTCCTTAGACCTAGACCCTTCCATGTTGGATTCCATTTGGAAACCTGATCTTTTCTTTGCCAATGAAAAGGGTGCCAACTTTCATGAAGTTACCACAGACAACAAATTGTTAAGGATTTTCAAGAATGGAAATGTTCTTTATTCAATAAGGTGAGTCATAGAGTTAAATTACTGATTTTAGTGAAAATGAGTGTTTTTTGTTGTTACTGAGTGTTTTGAATTTTTTGATTAACTGCTTTCACTGTTCTACCCAAATTCTTTTAATATACCAAATATGGCTAATCAACAATAGCAGACCCAAGTTTTAGATCCAGAAACTGTATGAATAATTCTTGGAAATCTGCTTTTTTGACAAGTGGCCCAGGTTATTACTCAGCCAAGTGGATGTGTGGTTTAAAGGCAAGTTGAATGGTAGTCAAATAATACACTGTGATTACATTTTATGCATGCAGATTCCTTTAAATATTTATAGGTGAAGAAATATTTAGATTTGCTTGTCTGGGATCCATTTTCCATAAATTATTTTTCAGGTATATGTATTTTTTAAGATTTCCTGAGCTTCTCTGGTCATATTTTAGAAAAGATCTTATTTATTATACATTTCTTAGAGGACCATGTAGCTTATAAAACTAATACCAAACCATAACAATAATTAATCCCAAAACATAAACATCATCCTAATGTATATGTTTTTCATATTTTCTGATTTCATGTTAATAAATTTCCTTTCAGTACAGCTATTACTTCCTAAGAGTGGCAAGACAACATCACTCTACTGTGAACTGACATTCTCATCAGATTCCTGGAAACTAACGAATCTGCGTTAAAATAATCCTGAGTGACTCATTGGTATATAAGATAAAGGAAGAGTTCAGGTCTCATCAGTAATTTACCCCTATGCTCCCATGTGAATGAATAACTTAATGGTGGGTCCCAGGTGTAAGCAAAGGTATTTTGAAACTTTTGGGAACATTATTGAAAAGTATAAGAGTCAAAAGATAGTGGGAACATGAAGCAGACATATTTTCCCTATTCCTTTTGCTAAGCACAACTAAAAACCCCAGACACAATATATATATAACATACTTAAGAGGACTCTCAGTTGTAGACACAAGAAGACTAAGGACTTTGGAACCTGAGAAACAACATGAGGGGAATTCATGGAGTTCTTTTTATTCTCTCATCCTAGAAGTGGAGTTAAAGAAGCTGGCAACCTGAAAACACCAACGGGTACAGATGCAGACAAAAAAAGCCCCAACAGAAGTCTAATTTCTCTAGCCAATCTAGCATCTGTAGAGGGAGAAGAGAGGTAGCCTAGTGTGACAGAACCTTTAGACAATTGTTCTGCTCCAGCCAAACAGTGCAAAGAGAAATGTGATCCTGCCCACACTCCTGCCAGCAAGGCCTTGCTAGCTGGTAATGAGTCACCTGACACACAGGCCAAGCTGGTGCCAAGAAAAGCTAAACAGTGAGCTGGAGCTTCATCTCTCGCCAACCTGCAGTAAGTGTCCCACCTGCAGTGTCGCTGGAGGTGCCAGGAGAGCCAGGAACTCCAGCCTGACCCGGCAGTGAGAAGGCACCCCTCTTCTCTGCTCGCTCAGGTAGCATCAGAGCAGTCCTAAGCGGGGGCCGGGAATTTCAGAATCTCTCCCAGTGAGGAGGCCAGGCCTGCTGTGGTGTCGGTAGAAACCATGTGGGGGGCTGGGACATACAGCATTAGCAAGGAATCTCTTTCCTCGTATATCATGGGAGCCTGATTTGGGACGCTGGACTTCTGCCTCTATCTGGAAGCAAAAGGGTGGCATCCCCACCGCCTCTTGTCCTGACAGCGCAGTGTCAGAGAAGGCCGGTGCAACATTTAAACGAGATCTAGGGTCTCATAAAATAATATAAAAGTGTCTAGCCTTCCATTGAAAATTTTTCAGGAAGTTCTCAAACTGAGTGAAAAAAAGACAATCAACAGATGCCAACATCAAATGACAGTGATGTTAGAGTTATCTGTCAAAGGCTGTAAAGTGGCCATGATAAAAATGCTTCAGTGAGCAATCGCAGGTTTGCTTGAAGCAAATGAGAAAATAGAAAGCCTTGGCAAAGAAATAGAAGATAAAGCAGAACCAATGAAAATTTTAGAACTGAAAAATACAATAATCAAAATAAAACCTAGTAGATGAGCTCCATTGAAAAATGGAGAAGACAGAGGAAAGTATCAGTGAACTGTAAGATAGAATGATAAAAATTACACCCTCTGAACAACAGAGAGATGATAGATTGGGGGTGGAGGGAGGGCAGAGCCTCGGGGACCTGTGGCAGAGTCTCAGGTGGAGAGGAAGAATAGCATAATGGGCTAAAAAAATTTTAGAGGAAATAAGGATTGAAATATTTATAAACTCTAAAAAGAAAGCATAAACCTACAGATTCAAGAAGTCAAATGAACCCTAAAGATATTTACATCAAGTTACATCATAGACAAACTTCTGAAAACTAAATAAAAATTTTGAAAACATCCAGAGAATAACAACACTTCACCTATAGGGAAAAAACAATGAGAGTGATAGCAGGTTTCTCATCAGAAATCATGAAGGGTAGAAAGGAGGGACACGTTTTTTTTTAAGTGCTGAAAGAAGAGAACTATCATCCTAGAATCTTTTATCCAGTGAAAATATCCTTCAGGAATGTAGGCAAAATCATAACATTCTTAGATATAAGAAAACTAAATTTATTGCAAGTATACCTAATCTAAAAAATCTAGCTGCAAAGTTTTCTGAACAGAAAGGAAACAGTAAAAGATGGAACATGGGAACACAAGAAGGTAGAAAGGAAACAATAAGCAAAAATATGAGTAAATGTAATAATAGAATTTCCCCCTCATTTTGGTTTCTCTAAATTATATTTGATAGTTGAAGCAAAACTTATAACATTGATGTGGGGGGAGGGATAAAAAGCAACAAATAAGGAAACTTAAAAATAAATGTATTGTCAGAAATTAACAAGACTGGTAATATTTAATGTTGTCTAATACCCTTTTTGTTGGCATGTGACTTGATATTAACTCTTTGGAAAAATTAGTTTGCCATGATATGTAAAAATACAAAATTTATTTATCCTTCAACTCAGCAATTTTACTTCTATCTTCTAGGAATTTGCGTTACTTATGTGTTTCTGTATATGTAAGATACATTTACAAAGATGCCCTCTTCACCACTGAAATAGCAACAGCAAAAAAGACCCCTAAATATTCATTAATAAGAACAAAGCAAAACATAGTAATAATCCCCTATCAGGAAATATTCTGCAGGAGAAGGCCTCCAAAATATATTCAAATTCAAAGAAAATGGTTTTATGTTTATTTTTACTTAAAATGCTCTACATATGTAAGCATACTTGTGTATGTAAAAACACACATCTTTGTAAATCCATGCAAAAAGTTTAGAAGGATGCTCAACAACTGGGAGAAAATAACTACGGAAATGAGCAGTTGAATTTGGGTAGGAATAAAGGTGAACTTTAGATTTTACTACATGTGAACTTATATTATTTGAATTCTTCAGAAAGACTTAGAGACTGCTTATGAATTAAATACATACATTTTATGATGGAAACTCAAAACCTGAGGTCATGATTCTTAACTCCTCTTTATTCATGGTGGATACCAGGGGATCCATAACAGGGTGCAAATAAAGCAAGTTTGTTTTTTCCCCTGCTAACTTGAAAATGAACTTTGTGAAAGGCATGATTTATTTTAATTATAAGGTACTGTTTAATTGCAGACAGATTTTGGCTGCAAAAATATATCACCAGATAGCATGGGATAATTATTTTGCAGATATAATGTCTAGAATATTTTCACTGATAGAATTGAAATACAATGTGCGTCCTATAGGATTATGGATATTTAGTTGGTTTTAGCAAGTCTTATCTGAATTGGAAAATGATGCCATCCATTATGAATTGCTCACATTTCTTTTAATATTTTGAGGAAAGTTATGGAATAATTCAGAGTTGCATTTTTGTCTTTTTAGTATGAATTCAGATGAAACAGGATGATGTCTCTCAGCTCCCAGTTTTTGTTTATTATATCCTGGCTCTCACGATCAAAGACTAAATTTGTTTTTTTATGAGTTGTTTTTGGAAATCTCACAGTACTTTGAAATCTTCAACTGGCAAACAGTTTCTTTGTTAAAAAAATAGTGCTAGAAAAAAGACTCTCGTTCAATTTACAAATGGAGCCTCTGTGATATTTTGTGGGAGATCTGGCTTTCCTGCTTGTTTAAAGAAAGAAGCAGAATGTCCTGGCAAACCTGTCCTATTTAACTTGTCCATTTATCTGTACTTTCTCCTTCAACCTACTAAAACAAAGAAGCTAAATAAGGAATAAAATGTCATTCACGTGCAAGAGGGCAAAAATAATGCAAGAGGAGACAGTGACAGAGGAATGATGACCACATACCTGAGGAAGCTGGAAACTGAGTGCACTTACGAAAACTGACGTAACAGAGACAGCTGAAACCGAAGCCAATGTGGGAGAACCCAGAAGGAAGATGACAATATCCTCAGACTTTTAGGAATTTGCAGCAGCTAGGACTTCACAAAACAGAGGCAAAAAAGAGATCACAGAACAAGAACTGATTTCAACTTTGTAAGAACAACAGTGAGCCTTCTATTCCTCATTTTCTCGCTTATGTCCTTTCGACAAGGGGATGCCTTTTTGCCTTTTGAACTGGGCAGAAAGCAGGACAGAAAATCTCAGAGAGGTTGTGCCAAGAGCTTCAGGAGTAGGGACTCCAGACACAGCTGGGTCTGCAATGAGGCATCACACCAAAAAATAAAAAATAAAAGAAAAAAAAAAGAGAGAGAGAGAGGATTACATGAGGTATACTGAATGGTGATACCCATGTTCTCCCTAAATGCTGAACGCCAGGCCTAAACTTCTATTGAGCAGTAATCTGAAGAATACACCTCTGGAGGAACTAAATTGCCCAACAGAAAAAAAAAAAATCTACAGATACTGACATTTGGGAGATCACCAATGAACTCTCCGGGCAGCCATGTTATCATCTTATAGATAAGACCATTACTCAGTGAACCATCCACTACTAATTGAGCTCCAAATAGATTTTAGTGCTTCGTCCTTGTATGTAAACAAACATTTG